TCATTAAGAAATTAGTAGATTAGAGAGGGAGAGAAAAAAAAACAAAAATGAACGAAATAAGTATTGATAATTAACACTTTTTTTGTTGTTGTTGATATACTTAGGCAAAACATTTTATGGTTGATCAATATCAACCCAGTAGATCTTAGTTTTATCTTACTGTAGACAACAAATATTGTGATCAATTATTAGGAATGTAAGATTTTAGGTAATTTATCAATTATATATATATATATGACTGGCGGCCAGCTTGAATATCTGGGCTATCCGTTCCTGTCATCTAGATATTGTAACAAGTTATCTTTTTCCCTAGTTTGTTTTAACAGATCATTATTCTAATTAATTACATAACATATTCAGGTATATGTGTGTGAAAAGTTGACAACATTTCGATATGCAAGTTATAAAAATGTACAGTCGGAAACATTGTGATTGCTGGCAATATGAACTGTAAAAGATGAACATTATTCAGATGCTGATTTCTGTAACGCTAATATTTAACTGACAATCGCTTAATATTTATCGTCAGTATCAATCAAAAAATAAGAAATGAAAACTTGCTGAAATGCTTTGTGGTGAGAATTCTATATTGTACCAAAAAATATGAGACTGAATAAAGATAATCATAATAAAAAATAAATAAATAATCTAATAAGTCCCGACAGACCTAAGAATAAGTTAGGTCTTGTTCAGGGTTATGGATGCACATTACTGATGAGTTCTTAATCCGAATAAGATAAATACTTAGTATTCCTTTATTTTCAATGATTCTCTTATTCTCTAAAGTGAATGAATACTCATATCGTAAACACGTATCATGGACTAACAGTTCTGACATGATCGATTAATGTTTAGTTCCGGTAAGTTTTATAATTCCGACTGGAGTCCCTTTGAGGCAACCACCGGTCCCAAGCCCAGATAAAGGAGGACGGTTGGGAATGAGGTTAACAACCCCATAACGTAGAAACCTAACTCGCTAAAAAAGCACTAACCAGAAAAAACTATTCAAACCATTTAAACACTACCCTGGGAGTTATAAGGTCTTCATTTAGAAGAGTTACGACACCTCATGGTAAAATTCGAGTTCCTTAGGAAGTCACAAGTTTGCTGCCCCTTCTGACAACCATTTATTTAGGTACATGGATTGCTCGTACAATGTGGGAGACCGGAAAAGTCTTCCGAATCGCTGCAGAAGATTTATGTCATACAATGATAACTTCACGAATTCCTTTACAATAATCTCTCACTAACCTCAAACAGTTATGTTATTAGCCATTTTATAACATAAGTAATTATTAGTCAAGCCACCAATTTAAAGTCTGTCAATCTAACCGAGATTAATATTTTTAATGTATTCATTAATAGGATCTGGTTTATCCCTTAAAGTCATATATCTTTTCAATTAGAACTTTTTAAAACCATCATCAGCAACATTTCTACCACTTAATAATCATCTCTAAGATTAAATCATAGCTAAATGTATTGAAATTTCGATATAAATATGTTGCTAACTATTTGGTTCAATGACGTTTTGACTTGTAAATTTTTTTCGGGGGAGGGGAACTTCAGTAGGATACTGATTTTTTTCAATCTATGTTTCAAAGTAATTAACTGCAATCTTGTCTTCAGTGATATTTGACAATTTCAATTGAGTTTTTTTATAATAATAATGATGAATTTGCTAAATTAGTGACAAATTCTTTATCATAATGATAATTTAATAGCCAGACCGATGTGTAAACTTTCCTTCTGTAACTTATTTTCTTTTATTTCGTTTGAATGTCACAATGTACATAAATTGGATGAAAAAATTTGGATGCCGGCTTAGTGATCTGGTGGTTAAGTGCTCGCGCGCAAGACTGATAGGTTCTGAGTTCGAATATTGAGAGGCGGGACAATGGATGTGTACTGCTGAGGAGTCTCACAGTAGGATGAAAAGTCCATCCAGTGCATTCAGGTTTTCCATGGTGGTCTAGCTTCAATTGACTCATTATCTCAACCATTAAAAAATCTTGTCAAATATCTAAAACCTTTTTTTAATATTCCATGTATTTCATTACTACTTGGTTGATTGGAATTACATAAAACTGTTATTTATATATACATAACTATGTATTGTTTTGAATATATGAGTTATGGCTTGTAATGGAATACATCACACATTTCACCCCATCTAGTATTCGTCAAATGGTCTAAACAAAATCACTCTGATGATATTCAAACTCCAACTAAGTACCTTTCACTTTAAACATTAACGTGTTATGCATTGAGCAAGTGAGTTCAAATGGATACCAACGTGTTTATATGGCAACAGAGACCTATCAGTTGTAGTTGAGACTATCAATAAAGAAAAATCAAAAACCTTCAATAATAAAACAACGTGGTTTCGAATACCTCTCGATGTATAGTGACTTTCTCTGCGTTTAAATATTTTATAACTTAAAACTTATTTAATTAGACAGTATGCTAAATAATTCCAAATTGTTCAATAAATAACATAGTTATTTTACTGATTACCATAAATATGTTTTGATTCAATGGACCTGATTTTGAGAAAACGAAAAATACTATTCGTAAATTTCCCTAATCAGAATATAGTTATCTTATTGGTTAAAATGAAGTTGTTTTATGCTATATCTTACTAAATAAACCAAGCATAGTTTTCAGTCATTTAAATAAGTAGTATTTGTTAACAAAATATTTTAAACTTCAACATATATATATTCCAATTGCATAACTATTCAGTAACTAGATCATGTATATCTATATTGCTCTTATTATCCCGACTGTTGTTGCTACATTGACGTGGTGGTCGGTCTTGCCTATCGTGATAAAGCAACCGAGCTATACTGGCTACAGCAAACGTCCCTCAAGGTCCTACCATGTTAGACAGGTCGGTTGAAGAGTTGTAAGACTAAAAGCAACAAACCCAAGGTCTGAAGGCGAATTCGTACTGCTGACTGTACAGAGTTGTAACAACAGTAAAGTGTTTCCTTGAGACAACCAGCATAGAAGCGATGCTGCATTATCACGAGTGAGGTTAGAAAAGGTTGACCCTAAAAATGCACACCTCGCCTTATTCCACGAATATCCGTCTCCGGCAGTAAGGTCTCAACAAGTACGGAGCTAACACAAAAATTACCCATAAAAAGGTCGTGTGTAACCGATCTCAAGCAGTTGTCCCTAGGGCACTGTGGTCACGCTCTCGGGTCACTAAGACCACCTTTAGTCCAAGTTTTTGTTCAGTAACCTCCAGAAGAACCCTTCCAGGGTGTGGACAACTGGAAGTGATAACAGCCCTCATACATATAACAGCACTCAAGACCCCTGCATTCATAATCAACCTCCCTCTTCAATTCCTATTATCCCTGCTTTTACTATGAGCTTCATTTTGACCTGTAAATTATTATTATGCGATTTACTGTTCTTAAGTTATGTCCAGTTAATTAATTACAGTCTCCTACGATCACAGCCACTTTTCGGTTTGATCTAGTATAAATGTTATTTCTTATTTTATGGTGTGATGCGGTCTGTTTGGTTGGTATATAAATGAAGTATGTTTGAAATAGATTATTCGCCAAGTGGAAACTGTTAATAGCGTTCTGGAACCAACTGGATGAGCTAGGAGAACAAAAGACTAATAAGGACACTAATCTGCTCATACCAGTCGAATGTTATTGTTTTAGCACAGTACTAAGGTTGAATAAATCACGTGATAACTAGCCAGGCTTTAAATGCATAACAAATTGACAACGGGGGTTTTGTGAAAAAGAATGCACAACAGATATTGCAATCTTCATTCATGTAAAACGAGAATTCATAAATGGTTTACCGTAAACGTTTTTAGTTTGATTTATAGGTAGAATGAAATCCAGAAATATACTATGCTATTTCGCAGTTCATGTGTATAACATGGCATTTGTCAACACCATTACAATGAGCAAATACATGCTGATGATATAATGTGTAGTTCGACATAATTTGCTGAATGTCCCGTACCTATGTTTCATACTAACTGGTGCTAATCAAATAAACTTTTAAAAAACTTCCATAAAAGTGATGTTTCTCGTGGTATTTTTACTTAGAAGCATATTATAATTTGACCGATACAATTTAATCAAAACTAGGAATTAGACAAATATATTATTGGCTACTATATAGTAATGAATTAGCGCTCAGAGTTAATATTATGTAATACAAATAGTTCCCAAACTGGATCATCAAACAATAGCTGAAATACATTAATTTAACCAGTATAGTTATTTCAGATGAATGATTTTAGAAACACTTTTAACGATTTCAATAGTAAAATAAGTAAATATCATTCTAATTTGTAATTTGAAAAACTCTATCAATAAACTCTTAAAAGATATAATTATACCATAGAAATCTGTTTATTATAATTGTGTACAATGAATATAGAAATTGTTTACCTACATTTTTAATTGATTTTGTTTACTAACTTCAGACATTAAAACCTAATTAGAATTGCAAATGAGTAGAAAAATTAGATTTGCTAACGTTTCGTAACTTAATGTAAGCCACTTCTTCGGGTAATAAATAACCAAATCAAAATCTGATCAGAATATCTCATTTTTGTACTCTTTGGGATATTTCAAATATACTATTTATTTACTTATAACAACGTACCCAATGTTTAATTTATTTGGAATTATCAAGTCAAACCTTGATAATGATACCTATAGAATTGCAAAGTTTTAAGTAATAAATTAAGAAATGACAAGTGATAGATTAGCATTATGGTTTACAGTTTTGTGTATTTTACGTAAACTGTGTTATTTGTTTTGTTGACTAACTGAATAGGCTGTTTTAAAAAAAAAGAAGAAAAACCGCAATGAAGATGTCGTTACAAATTGTAGATTAAATTGTAAACAAGAATGATATAATTTACCATCATAATTTTAGACTAAACTTTTAATTAATTAATTTATTTATTTATATATTTGAACAATGTTATAATTATATTTATTTTCACTTACCCATCTTAATAATTTCAATGATCGTGAACCACTTGAACGACAACGCATACCAGGTGGCCAAGAACAAGACTGTGTATTCACACAAACACCACGTTTAATCCATCTAGGCCAAAATAATGGTCCTAAATCTTCCCATATATATTCCATAGTACATGTTGCACGTTGTAATAACCAAGTTTTCATTATATTTACTTGATCAATAGTCATTTTAAGTGGATAAATTAAACCATCATTATTTATTGAACGAAAAACAGTGAAATTTAATTCATCTATAATATTTAATAAATAATTATCAGGTTTAGGAATATTTGATAATAATGTTGAACGTGTACTTTTACTTTGTGAATTTAATGGATTTTCTATAGACATCCAATTAATTTGTAAATCAGATCCAAGTATTCGACGTAATTTACGTATTGATTCAATAGTAGAACTTGGACGTAAATGAAGTAATGCTTTACTATCTATACGTTCACCTAAAACACGTATATCAACTTTTTCAAATTCATGTGAATGTTCTGGTGGCCATGAACGATCATCATTAATAATAGAATGTTGTAAAATATTTGATGGTAAAATTAATGAATTTTTATTTATATTATTTTTAGATGGTTTAACAATAATTTGAGCTCTTTGATTAGAATCAATTAATAAATTGGATTGATTAGATAAATTTGATTTTTTATTGATTTTATATTCAATATTTTTATTATTATTAGATGATGATGATGATAATAATAATTGTGAAGAGGCTATAGCTTCAGCTTGTCGTGTTAATATATCACTTACTTTAACATTAATTTTACGTGAATAATCTGTATTATATAAATCATTATTTAATTTTTGTGTAATATACGATTTATGTGATCCGCCAGTTGTTATAATTGCATATTTTTTTGGTAAATTTTGATGATTGAATTCATTTAATTGTTGAATGGTATTACAAATTAATAATAAAATTAAAACAAATGTATAAAATGATGAAATTGAAGTTTGAATATTCAATAAATGATACAAAATAATGGACATATTTAAATTTTAATAAGAAAGTTGACATAAGAGTTATTTTTTTTGTTTTTTTTTTCTGTTTTGCTTTTTTCTCTTTTTTTTTGAATAAAATATTATTGTTTAATATGAATTTGAACTTTGCGGTATATTTTTTGTTTGTTTATTACTATGTTGTATTACTTTGGTTTCTTATTATTCAAACTAGAAGTTGTTTTGTTTTTACTTTGTTATTTATCTATTCAACTGGTTATGTTTAATTCAATGTTAAATTTTTATACAACAAACTGGAATATACAAATACATTTCAATTATTCAATTAATATATATATATATATAGTTGTACTGAGGCACAGAAATCACTTATTTAACGAAGTTCCTATGTTAGTTTATGTGTATAAATACATTTCAGTGTATGTTTAGACAGATTTGTTTTATCAGGTTGACTTTTAAATTGTCTAAAATAATCATGATTCGAAGTTTGTCTATAATGTGTTGGTCAGACGCTCACTTCATGTATGTATGTATGTATGTATATGTATGCATGTTTATAACTAAAATGAATGATTACTATGACTAGAGGTCAGTAAGAATAAAATAATAATCTTTATTATTTCATCCATTTCATGTTGTAGATTTTGTCCGAGGTTATCACCAAGTCATTGGGTTTTTGTTTTGTTGTGCACATGTTCATATAGGTAAGTGAATGTATCAAGACTATAATTTGATATCCTTTTTACAACATATTACATAATTATCAGTAAAAGTGAAATGTAATATAACACACTGTTTGAAGTAATTCAATAGAAACATCCTTAGAAAAATATACCAATGAAAAATGAATGCAGTAAATGAATTATGTTTGTATAAACTTTGATTATTTCAATTAAATATTAAAAAAACGGTTCTATACGTAGATCATGCATAAATTTCAAAAGAAAAACAAAAATCTACATTAGGTTGTTTTAATTGAAAACAAAATAATATGCATGCGTAATTGTTAAATGAAAATATATGCGGAATACTTGAATACATTATTTATTTATTTATTTGAACACATAGATATTGATACAAAGGGGCACCGAATACATATGCACCAGATAAGTCACTTGATTTGTGTGTGGGCTATGATACTGTCTGGGTGCTGAAATCGAAACAGGTGGTTTCCTTAGCGAGCCACACCCGCAGCCTTTGACCTAAAGGTTTGACCCATAAGGCAGTGGAGTAGCCTATGATAGCTGGTGAGAAACGATTGGTTCATTCGCCATTTGTCCCTGCAGGATCATGTAGTCCATCTACATCAGTCGTTTGGAATCAGGGTATTCCAACTCCCCCATGGTGAATCCTTCATATCCACCAACCTGGTTAAAGTGTTGACCATTCGCTTTTCGTCCTCTCAATTTCGTAACCAACACCTCCGCCGTCAGAAGGCAGTAAGTAGGGCTTCTCTCACAGTGCCTGTATACGCGTGGCCATGTAAGAGCATTCCGAGAGGAAGGGCTGACTCTTCCCACCCTCTGCCGTAACAGGGCATTTAGGGTATTGAATACATAAAGATGAATAAAAATCGTAAACGATATCCATTCATATTATTACGTTGAAAGCTTTATACATATTTAGTTCAATTTTATTTAATTGATACGAACTTGAAACATGACTAAGGGAATAACTAGGGAACATTGAACTTGATTGTTATTCATGTATTGATCATTCACTATTCAATTCTTTAGTTCGATACAATCAAGCAGATCAATTTAACCCATAGTGTCATTGAATGATTTGGTTTTGGATAGCGAATACCAGAATCGATTTTCTGAAAAGCTGTATAGGCAAACGTGAATATTCGAGACAATTTTTCAGATCAATTTAATAAACTATTTTTGTTGGAAAAAATGTACAACAATTTTTAAGTTGAATGATTATATAATTATTATCACAAGAGGGTTTTATAAAGACTTTTAGTAATTTAATAGTTAAATTCATGAGTCATTTGAAGTTAGACAACAGGAGAACCTGAAAGCACTGGACGGTTATAGAATTATATAATTATCAGAGATCGTTAAACTCTAATGAATTATTTATATCACTAATTATTTTATAAATTATCTATTCAGAAATTACCATTGTGAGATACTTTTCATGTTCGCTTTGATTATTCTCTTAATGTGCTGATTCCCTTCACTTCACATTTAAAGATATTAAAGGGAAACATATTTAAACATGGTAATTGTTGTCTTATTCTGATCTTTATTTCAATCTCTACAAGAAATCTCTTTAGCACAATTTTTTCCCGATTAACTTGAGCAAACTGATGAGGACAATGAAGAGTTATATGTGTTTAATTTGGAAGGAATTGAAATCAGGACTGTTTTGCAGCGTGATAAAGTTGTATCATCAAGTTACTTATGTACTCATTCCATTACCAAAAGCCATGTTTTATATTTAAGTCTATAAACTGAAAACAAGTAAAAGGTTAAGGAATTACATGACATGATTCATTCAAATCATAATGTTGTATGCTTGATTACATTGATATTCTGTGTTGAAAAATAAAAATGATGATATTCGTGATTAAACCGCTTAATCTTTACTCATCAAAGTAACCTGTTCCAACTCTGATTCATTTACTTGTATATGATACTGAAATTTGAGCATATCAAATTTGTACTTGGTGGGTTACATTATTATTATTAATATTTAGAAAAGCAATCTCTGATTTTTTACAGCTATCCATGAGAATAATTCACACCATATTTTAACAATAACTAATTAAACTATCAATATAAAATTAAAAATAAATCACATTAGAATTATCGTGCATGGAGGACAGATGACAGATGCATTCCAAGTAAGGACCGAAGTCAGACAAGACTGTTAACTCTCTCCCTCCCTCTTTCTTATGGTGGTCTACTGGATTATGAAAACCTCGACATCTGAGGGAAAACACGGCATACAATGGACAACTCAGAACGAGTTAGACGATTCGGACATCTCAGACGACCTAGCCCTCCTATCGCATACACACTAAAAAATGCAGATAAAGACAGTCAGTGTAACAGCAGTCTCTCCATCAGTAGGCCTCAACATACATAAGGGGAAAACTAAGGTCCTCAAATACAACACGAAGAACACCAACCCAATCATTCTTGATGGCAAAACCCTGGAAGATGTAGAACTCTTCACGTACCTGGAAAGCATCGTTGATGAACAAGAAGGAACAGATGCAGAAATAAAGGCGAGAATTGACAAAGCAAGGATAAGATTCCTATAATTGAAGAACATATGGAACTCAAAACAGCTTTCAACCAATATCAAAGTCACAATCTTTAATAAGAACGTCAAAACAGTTCTACTGTACTGAGCTGAGACTTGGAGAACTACTACAACCATCATCAAGAAGGCACAAGTATTCATAAACAATTGTCTACGCAAGATACTCAACATACATCGGCCGGATATCATCAGCAACAGCTTTCTGTGTTAGAGGAAACTAGGAAAAAACGATGGAAATGGATAGGACATACATTACGCAAATCATCAAACTGCATCACGAGGCAAGCCCTAACTTGGAATCCTGAAGGGCGAGTGAAAAGAGGAAGATCGAAGAACACAGCACACCGAGAATTGGGAAAGCACGTGAAAATAATGAATAACAACTGGAAACAGCTGAAAATGATTTTCCAGGACAGAATTCGGTGGAGTCTTCTGGTGGCTGGCCTATGCTTCTCCACGAGGGGTAACAGACGTAAGTAAGTAATGTGAATGTCAATCAAACTGCTAGGAAATGATTTAGATATATAAACGTTTTTGGTAAACACTACTATAAAAACACATTAATAAACTGCATTTCACATGGACGAAAAATCGATTAACTAATGGAAAATAACGTAATTCGAACCTTAGAACCGAAAACAAATAGCTTAACAAAGTCGTTTATAAGAAAATTATAATATATAATCAAATTTTATCCATTTTTGTAACGTGTCAAGACTAAGTTTGTACAATATACAAAAGAAGACACCCGATTTGTCAAAAACTAACATTTGACTAGCCAGAAACCTGTCTGTTTTCTTTAACTGCTGTGTGAGGTAAGCAGATGAATTAAAACACTCAAATTACTAACTGATATATAAAAAATCTTGATGAAATATAATAAATATTATTTTTAATTGATAGTTTCGCCATCATGTATATCGAGACAAAATTAATTATACTTTATTCACAGCTGTAGAACATGAATTTTGAATGCAAGAGATATGCATAAACTGCAAATGTTTGACAAAAGATTCCAATTTAGTACTGATCAAATTTAACAAAGGAACCACATGAGCACTTTTACTTTTAGACTCTGAATAGTCGACAGTAGTTGTCAGTCGTTTGGTACGGTTGTGCTTTTTATTCAGTTGACATGGATAGGCAATATTTTATGCGTACTCAGCTATCGCTTCCTCCAATGAAGTATTATAGTAAGGACATAAACAGATTGAATGATGGCAAGAAACAGTTAGTCCATGAAGTTATTGATTATTGACATAAGTAATGAAAGTAGGTGAAGACTTCATGGTTGAGATTGATGTAGTGGGTAGCAAAAATTTTTATGTGACCTGGAACAAAATCTTTACACATGAATCCATACTACATCTAAAATGTCATATAATACTCTTAACTTTCATCCTAAAATTCTGTTCACATCTCTTGGTTTCTCTTTAAGCGTAGATTATATTCATTACAAATCGATTTCAGAAGGAATTTTACTAAAAACCACGGTTCACTGAATAACTATTTTGTTCCAGTGCTAAACTCATCAAAAGTGTGTATCCAAAATCATTTCGGAGGCCAAACATAAGGTCTTCGGGTTTTGCAGTGAACGCCTAGCCGTTAGAGCCACTGAATGGACGTTCAATGATACATTCTGAGCACCAGTTAAGTTACCATATCTCGTGATTATTAAATGTCACAGGTGACGGCTATTTCAAACACCACCAGTTAGTTTTTTTCAAATCCCTTACTACTAATTATTAGTATTATTTTTATACATTTTTAAATTTTTTATCGTATGACGTGCAAAGACTTAGATAAACACATTTGTATCAGCCCTCAAATTGTTTATATCTATTTCAGTTAGAGATATTTTACGGATTTATGAGAGATTCGCATTTTAAAATGTTTCAGTAAACTACCTATAATGTCTTACAAATCGTACTAAAAATATTATAGTTCGTCCAGTGGCTCGCAAAGAGAACAAGATATTTTTGGTAAATTATATTAAAAGCTACTTATGAAAATATATGGACAGTTGTTCTTCTGAAAGACAAACACTCAATAGTTGAAATTAACTTTCCTAAAGAGGCATATATGTAACAGAATTTAGTTGATCTTTTGAATACAGTATGTAAACAACTAACTTTGTGAAAGGCCTGCATGTTTGTAGTGTGATATTCTAAAAAAAACGCTAAAAAACTTGAAGTTAATGAGTAGATAGATTGTAGTTAGCAGTGGA